AAAATTAAATATCCCTATATAGCTAACAAAAGGAGAAATCGCGTTTGATCTAAATGACATTACCAGCGATAACAAAAAATTTTCGTATATTATGTAAATCAATTTGGCAAATTTATATACATAAATTTTAACAGATATTTAGAAATAATCTTAACATCTTTTGAAAAGAAAAACAATAACTTAAAAAAAACACACTAAGAGAGTCATTCCAAAGTTCAATATATCTACAAATTTTTATCGGATTTATACAAATGGGTGACAAAAAATTTAGTTTTTTTTTTAAACAAATGAAAGAATTATCTTCAAACAAAATAATAATAAATAACTTGAGAATACAAATATTTCCTTCCAATGTGCAAGCAATTTACTGGATTCTGATGCAGATTTAACTCATCTAACCCAAATAGCAGATACAGTTTCAGAAATCACAAATGACACACAACCAGCTATTTGTGCAGCCTGAAAAGCTCAGTAAGATACGTCTTCACCAATGTGTCATGAATAAAAGGATTCAGAATTTCATTACGCAAACTGATAGCTTATCTGAAAAACAATAAATCAAAATCCAAGACACTGCGATAACTGTAATTGTTCGAAAAGTAGGTCATGTAATACTAATAAATAATGAAAACACTAGTTATTGCTTTTCACTCACTGATCCCTTAGGTCTCTCCGATCTTTGCTGCACAATGTCTAGTTACACTGATGGCCACCCAAACTGCAACACCAAGAAAGACAAGAGATATCACAACAAAAATTATTTAGTAGATAACATGTTGACCAAGTATCAAATGATTAAATTTATAGACTTCTGTGAAGTGTGGTTCCTTCCAGAATCAGTAGCCAGAGTAGTCGCCATTGTTGGAGATCACTGCTGCCACACGCCTCGGCATTGATTCAAAGAGACTTTGGATGTGTTCTTGGGGTACAGCAGACCAAGCAGCTTCCACACGTTGCCAAAGTTGACCTGGTGTGGCAGCTTGGGATGTAATCTCGGTCAATAGTTCAGCAACCATGGACCACATTTTTTTTTATCGGCGAAAGATCTGGACAGCGAGCTGGCCAGGGAAGCAATTCAATCTGACAATTGACGAAGAACCCTTGGACAATGCGTGCCACGTGTGGTCGCGCATTATTCTGTTGAAATATTGCTGTGGGGAAGCCCTGAAGGTAAGGAAGGACAACTGGCTCCAACACCTCGGAGATGTAGCGCTGACCGTTTAAAGTACCGGCAATGCGTACTAGAGGAGAGCGAGAATATCCAATACCGCGCCATACCCGGTGCAGGACCAGTGTGTCAGTGCATAACGCAGCTGTTCAGCATCCTCTCTCCACGGTGTCACTAGACTCGAATCCGACTATCGTGGTGTTGCAGACAGAAGCATGACTCGTCAGTAAAGGCAATTTCATTCAATTCTGGTTCTGCGTCACGGGTAGACGAAGCAATGGACGTCTTGCGGACAGACTACTCTGCTGTAAACGGCGTCGAATGGTACACGCAGACACTGGATGATGCGTAACAGACTGAATGTGCTGTGCTATGATGTGACTGAGTGATCCGTCACTGCCATGCGCACAATGTTCTTGTCATCACGTGAAGTGGTGCACTGAGGTGGATGCGATCGAACACGTCGGTCCATCGTACTCTCCTGCATACAACATTCACATATCCGCATTACAGTTGTTTGGTTTCGTCCAACACGACTACCGATTTCCCTGAAAGATAATCCACACTCTCGGTAAGCACATTCAGTCTATCTGTCGAACATCGGATACTTGATCAATCTTAATCTTGATATCCTTGTTCGACAGATTAAGGATCTTGATATCCTTAATCTGTCGAACTCGGATACTTGATCAAATGATGATCGCTGTTTACTACGAAGCATAATTGATCGTTTTTTTGACAAAACCAGAAGAAAAACACAATTGCCAAACTTTAAATGATTGAAATCGCCTTAAATACTCTTTGAATGGCGCGACAGGCGAAATGTGCGTTGCACTAATCATTTGCATATCTCACCTCTGTTAATGCATGTTGTAAATTTCATGTTATTTGCATGCTTTCTTCAGGGTATTGCATTTATGGTGGAAAGCAGTGTATTTTACAGCACCATCATCAGCCTCTTGCCATAGTCTGCATGAAACACATGCCAGTAAACACAGAACGAATTTTCAAAGTTGTGCATCAGGTAACTGATTTGGTCGTTTCATAAAGGTATAAAAAATATTCGCTTCTTCTAAGTAATGTTAATCATTAGTTTTAATATATATTTATGATTTTATAGTTCACCTAATCCTGTCAACATCAGCACCGGAAAAAAAAAAAAAAAAAAAAAAAAAAAAAAAAAAAAAAAAAAAACCCACCTATAACTGTAATTTTAAGGGTGAATGGGAAAAGAAATACTGTTTTGCTAATTTTAAGAACAAATGTATTTGTTTGATTTATGGTTCATAGTTTCTGTGTGTAGGGATGGAACACAACATAGACACACATTTATGCAGTTCACACTAAGAAATATGACATTAAGCGCAATCTAAGAAAATGTAAAGAAAACCCATTTGTTGCCCAACAATCATGTTTGCCAGATCCGCAAATAAAATGAAGCTTTTATGATTGCATAATTTAAGGTTGTACATATACTTGCAATTCATAAAGAACCCTTTGATGATGGTAATAATACAATTAAACAAGCATTGCTTGCTGCATCAGATTTTATTTCAAGAAGCTAAAAATAAGAATGAAAATATGCCAGCTTTTCGAGATGTCCAGTTATCCACAAATTCCATTACTCGTAGAATAAAAACCATAGCCAAAAATGTCAGAGAACACATAAAAGATGATTTATAAAAAAGCACTTTTTAAAGTGTGATGAATCAACAGATATCTTGAAATGTAACTCAAGTAAATATTTTTATAAGGATGGCCTTTAATGATTGTTCAGTGAAGGAAGAATTCTAAGTTTGTCACAAAAAGATAATACAAGTGTAGTGACTATACCAAACTATTAAAAACCATACAATTGAAATTAGTCTTCTGCTTCAAAATTTGTGTACACAACAACAGACAACACACCAGCCATGATTTGTTTTGCTGTTAGTTTCATTACGTTAGAATGATGCTGCCTTTCCAAATTTTTTAACTATCTCTGCATCATCAGTTGCAGTCATTATGTGCAAAAGTTTTATATTATGAACACATAATGAAAGTTGTTTCAAAAACAGTAAATTCTATTCATGCCAGACCAATTCAGAACTAAATTGTTGAAAGCACTGATAGATCAACTTGATACTGAGTACCGAACTTTAATGTTACATTTTGAAATTAGATGGCTGAGTAAGGGAAAAGTCCTACAGTGACTTCTAGAGATAAAGGAATTTTTATAATCCAGAAACAAAATTTATGAAGAACTTAGTTATCACAGTTGGTTATGATATAGTGACGAAAATGAATAAATTAAACCTTAAACTACAAGCAGAGAAAAGACTATTACACAGCTAACAGGAAGTACAAACGCATTTAAATCCAAAATTAAACTTAGTTAATATTTAACACAAATGAAAAGAATGTAACTTCGAATAATAATGAGTAACTTTTGTAACCTTTGTAATTTTAACTGTGAAGGAATATAACCTTTTCCACTTTACAAATTTGGAGAACTACATCAAAAATTTGTCGAGCTTAAAAAATAATTTCGAAATTAGACTTTCTGATAAAATTCAGCCTATTGTTTGATTAATTTGAAATCCATTTTTTGATACTAGTTCTGAAATATGTAACAGATTGTTAAATATGTTAAGTGAAAATTAAAGAAAATGTTAAATAAAAATTCTACTGATCCAAAAAAAGGGGAAATGATTTTCAGTCTGACTTATAATTAAAAACAAGAATATCACAAAAACTTCTGGATATTTGTAGATGAGAAAAAATATTCACTCTTAAAAGAAACTTTTCAAAGGTCCTGGATTAGATCAACCTTTAGGAAAGTGGTTTCCTGTTAGATCAACCATTACAAAAGTGGTTTTTCAACACTGAACTTGTTACAATCAAAGTTAAGCTTCAGAATAACAGACAAATATATGAATGACTGCATGAATTTAGCCATAACATCACTTGCACCAGATTACCATAAACTCGCAGAAGACGTGCAGTGTCAAGTTTCATATTAAAATAAACTTTTTCCGTATTTAGTCTATAATAAATAGCAATAAAAATAAAATATAATTACATTTTTAATTCAACATGTTGTGACACACATTTTTATAGTTTATGTATCATTTATAATTGGAATATTAAAAGTGCAATATATAACTGTGGATCAACAAATCTTTTTAAATTCTTAATTGGCTTATGTCAAGTGAAACATTGGGCACCACTGCCATGAGTAATAGGCAACCAAACCCAAATGCAAATCAGTCAGCTACCAATCGTTACATAGATTTGCCCTATAAGTATGCTGTAATCACCCCCAAACTCTTAGATGACAGACACAAGTTTTAGAACACAAAATATGCTTAAAAAAAAAAAAAAAGTGTCTTTTATAATTTGATTTATGTAAAACGCAGATAGTTATAATGAGTTAAATTTCCATAATTAAAGTGCTTTTTATACTCAAAAGAGAATAAACATTAACTTTTAAGCATTATGTTTTAACCGTGATAATTCTTTGCTTCTAATGAAACTCACAATGATATAAAAAAATGTATATCATGTTTGGTTTCAGAAAACATAAACCTATCATAAACATCCAACCTCTAAAAACTGTTAGAAGGAGAGTGAAAAATGTTCATAATGCAGAAGAGGAATTAAGAATATAACCATATAACCTATAAATTACAAGTGGCTGAAAATGGATCACTATGTGATCAGATTAAATATATAATAGCATTATATAAAATATGTATTTTTGCTAGTCTTAAGATATTTCTAACATTTATCACAGATAATTTATTTTTTTCTAGAAAAATTATTTTAAGATACATGAAATGAGTTAAATTTATTTATGAAGCACAAGATTTTTATTGATATTATTATACCACATCTTCAGGCAAAATAACATAAGCTAGACTTACATGACAATTTCATTTTTTATGTCACTGAAAAACAACACTAAAATACAAAATGTTGCTCATACTAAAATGATACGTTGAACATAAAAGCTTGCACATACTTTTCAATCAACACAATAAACAAATAAATAAACAGAAACACCAATGACTAAATATGATGCCATTTTTAGCACAATTTTCAGAAACCAAGCTAATACTTTAATATTTAAAACTCAGTTCAAATACTGGAAAGCAGTGATTGGCCAATGACATTTTCAAATTAAAAGGGTAAAAAGGTTTATTAGACATTCCATTATCAAAATGAAATGCAGAATATAGAATCAGAAATCGCATAAAAAGCTGAACATATTTAAACATAAAACATATAAACTAAACAGAAGCTGAACATATTTTTTTTCAGCAAAATTCTCACCAAAAAATTTGAAGAGTGCCACAGGATAAGGTACTACATTATTGCATAAAGCACTCTCTTTATTGCAGTACTGATATTAATCGTTTCTTCATAGGTATAAAAAATATGTAATAATATTTTCATATATATAACATACTTATTAATCTAAAAAAATTAAAAATATATAAATTATAACAAAATATTTCACAAATCCATCCGCAATTAAGTATTCTTTGACAGGCCATAAAGCATCATATAACTGCCACAACTTTTAAAACAGCTTTAGTTATACTAAATGCATATGCAGCTTGGAATGTTTTGGCAAGTAGCTGCCAATGATGGAACACTCAATACAGGGTACTCCAAGCAGTCTATATAACTGAAAGAAAAAAAAAAAAAAAAAAAAAAAAAGGTCTGTTGACCTATGGTTCTGGTTAAAGAAATGAATTAAATAATATTTAAGATCATGATAAGTTTTGTAATTTGACATGTTTTAGTAAAATTTTCATGGAAGAAAGTGTCCACATGAAGATAATTTCTTATAGCCGAAACACCAGGGAGAGGGATAAATATCACAAAATCAAAAACTACCTGAGATATTTTAAACTAAAATTTTCCATCAGAAATTAAGCACCATGTACAGATTTTTCCAAAGCAAATATGCATTTCAAGTAGAACAGCAAAAATATATATACTTCCGAAACATTAATACAGAATTCACACATATATCTCAAAATGCATATTTTCAGAACCATGCTCCCTGGTTACAAAAAGATGCTATTTTAAATTTAGGGTAAAAAAAAAAAAAAAAAAAAAAAAAAAAAAAAAAAAGAGCAAATTTCAATAATGAGAAGATTTTGGAATTAACGATTATGTGGATTAAGAGGAATTTAACGACTATAAATTGTGCCTTTGTGACAAGATACACTAGTTTTGTTACATTAGTTTTAGATTTACATTTTTCAGTTCCTTATTTTTATATTATACCTACATCATTTACATATAAATAAATAACCAGATCAGATACAAATCATATAAGTTTTATTAAATATAAAACTAATATATTTTTAAATAAAATTACATAAAAGAAAATGAACAGTTAACAAAAAGGACTAGAATGAAAATCCTAAAAATAAATAAAATATCTAAATTTTTTTTAGCCCATTTTCTTTACAATGTACACACACACACATACACACACACAAACAAACAAACAAACAAAAAAAAAATGTTATTTGTATATACATATAAGACAAAAATTGCTGTTAAATATGCCATACTGAATTTTCTAAAAACTGAAATGTTTTTTTATATTAAAATAAAAAATAAGTTCAGATTACATGTATCTTAAGATTACAAGATTCTATTAAATATGAACAAACTAATAAATTTTCCTTTGTAGAAAAGCTAAATTTCAAAAAATTATCTAACACAGTTCAATTTGTATTAAATTCAATTTTAATTAAAACTGAAAGAAAATTTTTACTGCCTCTTTCCAATGGAGAAAATAGTTGAAATCAAATAATTCTATACAATACTGAATCCACATTTTTTATGGCTTTTAAGTAAAGAATAACATTATAACTTTTTCTATAGAGGGAACTTACAGGAAAATTTAATTTTATGCAGATTTTATTAAATGGTATCAGATGATGAGAGCAATCATAGTTTGAAAGTTAACTTTTTTATCCATTTCTTGAATAATTGAAATCTCTTTGATCCTATTCAAAAATAGGATCAAAGAGATTTCAATTATTCAAGAAATATTCAGATTTGGCATATTTTTTAAACACACTCTATAATCTAATGCTATCCAGGCTGCATAATTTAAATTATGATACAAACTATTATATTTGGCACAAGTGCACTACTTAGTTTCTCAGAATGAGATTCAATCCAATTAATTTCAAATATTTGTGCAAAAAAAAAAAAAAAAAAAAAAAAAAAAAAGTTTTGAAAGCAATATGTTTTAAAGGCTGGACACTTAGTTTAAAGCATGTTTCAAGAATGCCATCAATCATATAGCTATCTGATCATTGAGAACTTTGCCCAGGGTGCACCACATGGTAAAGACTAATATTATACCCCAAACAGGAAAGAAGACATGTACAGACAGCCAAACCTTACACAGGAATTCAACCCCTACCCTTAGTTTCAAGCTAATTTATAGTCAGTCTCTGTGAATTATCATATCCTCCAGAATGGCTTAGAATAAAGGTAGAATAAAAATTCAAAAAAAAAAAAAAAAAAAAAAAAATTAAGTACTAAATAAAATACCACAAAATATTTAATGGAAAAAATGTTATTTAAAAACACAAGCACTCTTAATAAATAATCAAATGAAAAAAATGCTAACCCTCAGTCATGCATTCATGACACTATCAAAACATTTTTATCTTTAATAGCTGATATTAAAGCACCAGTCTATAATTTAAAAACAGTTATTTTTCATTATCACAAATTTGTCTCAAAAGTAAAAAACAAAATGTATGATTTAGATAAGTAATGAAAGTATGTCAGATAAATTAAGATGTAATGAAGGTATGTTAGTTAAGTTAAACTTATTTCAAGTCAAACTGCCTGTTGAACTTTAATTTCTTAAACAGGTACTTTTATTACACAACATTGATCAAATAATATTTGAAAACAGTAATCCTCAACTACTCTAGTTACAACATACTGGTGTGTCAAATTCTCTATGATTATACATATTATGAAATTTTTTAATTTAAAGATACATTTCAAAATTGCACTTCCATTTTCAACATTATTTTTGCAAATAAGTATTTTACATAGTGAAAATATAGACATCTAAACAATGGAGAGTGGCATAACATTAAGATGATTTATGGGCTAGTTTGTTACACAAATATCTCATCTTGGTAAACGCTGTAAACATGCCAAACACAGAATTCAAATAACAGGTGGATTGGATTATCTGACCATGGGAAAATATACCTAACATATTAGCTATTTATTTAAGAGTCCCAGTTTTGAACAAAAACAACACATCAGTTAAACTGAGGCTTTGTGTATCCTTCTTCTACTGTCACTCATTTCTTTTCTTCAAAAACACTTTATGGTCACAAACATTTACATATTACCAAGATAAACTGGAGCCCAACGGCAAGGCAAAAACACCAAACTCTCAGAGGGGGAATAACCTGCCAGTTATTAAACTAATAATAATTATTATTACTAAAAATAACTGTGTCACTAGATCCCAGATAATCAGTTAAGTATCCTAGCAACTGAAAAGTCTAGGAATAATTGCTTTAAAGTGCACAACAGTATTTAACTACAAACTAAAAAAATGAATACATTAATTCAAAGTTCTAAATTTGATTTAATTTATTTTCAAATTAAATATGAATTAACTATTTATGACAAACTATATATGAAATTAAAACTTCTTCACACTTGATCAGCATACTTAGACGAAGCATTTTATTTTGTAAATCTCATCAAGAAAAGAATGTAGAATTTAGTTAAAAGAAGTGAGGAACAAAAAAGCTAATGAAATCAATACCATAAACTAACTCCAAAGTTTCTCTTCATTTCAAACGAAATTTTTCTTCATATGTTTAATAAAATACTAATTCGCTATTTTGTACAATGTAAAAAACTTTGAAAAGGAAATATAAATATATATATATATATATATATAAATATTAAGCAAAACTCTGGATTATAAATTACTCATAACCTATGGTAAAACAATTGTAAGAACATAAAGCAATTTTTAGATTTATTAATCTGAAAAAGTTATAAATTGTTAAACATAAAGCTTTTATTCTGAGATAGTTTAGTTTATATTATCCTAAAATGTCTTTGATACTTGTACATGTAAGACAAGCTTTAGCATTCTTTAAGATCTAGAAAATGGCTAGTCAAATCATACAAACAACACATAAAATCTAAACTAACATTAACATAAAGCAAATGCAAGAATGATATTTCAAATATACAGATTATCTATTATAATTTCACATAACAGAAGGTAGAACACAGTAAACTTACTACAAAGCCGATAGGTAGCGAAAATAATGGTGCAAAGAATAGAAAGCAATGGCATAACAAAGAGATGAGAATAAAATTCCAGTATCATTCGAATTCTTTAGACAGGCAACTTACTACTAATATTTTTAACATCTTTTTTATCTGTTTAAATACTAAAGGTCATCAGTTGTGGCTAATACAAAAGGACTGAAATACAACAGTATATTTTATGTGTTATGCATTGACACTTCATAAGTTAATACCTGATTTGAAATTACTCAATTACAGATCATTACTTTCAGTCATACAGTTTTTTGTCTCCTTATTTTTTGTCATACATTTTTGTACACTCTCAAACCATCATTCAAAAGTCTATAAGACTAAACTTCTTTTTAAAATTAAACAGTAATAGATACTCTTGCTGCAGAAGTACAAATCAGATTGTGTTTATATTTTATTTGGTTAAAAAAAATATACGTACTAATTCAATAAAAGCAAAATGGTACAAAGTGAACTTTTGAAGAACCTTTAAACAGAGTGAATAAAAACGGTCTAAATAGGAAAGTAATTTCTTATTTTCATAACTTAAAGAAAAATAAAAATAAAAAGTAAAACTATACATCACCATCAGAAATTCTGCAATAAATTTTAAATGGAAAAGTGTTATTTACATTTCACTTTATTTGCACGGAGTAGAACAACTATCTAATGCATAAGAATTTCTAAAAATGCATCTCATAACATCCACACTTACTGACAATACTCTGTTTCTTTATTATATAATCACTACTTGCAAAAATTATATATTAAGCACAAGACACAATTGAGATACACAAACTTTCATTACATCAACAAACATTTTATATTTAGAATCTGCCACATAATCATCTTTTTAATGCAACAGAAACATTCTTTAACTTTTACTACAGTCTAAGTGATGACTAGCTCAACACACACATATATCTGAACACATTAAAAATTAATCAGTGAAATTTACACACATTGACACTTCAGAAATTAATACCTGATTTGCAATTACACAATATATCAGTATACAGAGAAGGTTTCACAGGTAAATTTTTTTTAAAGGCTAAATATGCACCTATTCTGTAAGAAAAACTCAAGATAAAATTTGCTTTCAATGGAATATGATTAGTGTATAAGGTATTTCACTTGCCTTCCTAGCACACTGAGCTGGTATTCAGACGCCTGCGGTTCGATTCCCAGCGAAGGCGTTGCTAATTTTTCATCTCTTCTGCTTCCAAAAATCCTAATGTCTCTACAAGTCTACCTTTACATATAATACTGCTTAACTTAGCATTAAAATATAATTCAGTATTATCCTCAAGGCATAAAACATGCTTGCAATGAAAATTTTAA